CACTCAGTTTGCCCCGGGGCAAACGAGAGTGTTGCTGAAGACCAACCCTGCCTTTGTACCTAAGGTGGTTGGTTCATGTACCCCCATTAACATTGAGGCATTTCCTCCGCCACTGTGTTCCTCTGAGGAACAGCGGCCGAATTTGCTGTGCCCAGTCCGTGCTTTACGCACCTATATGGACAGGTCAAGAGAGTTTCGATGCAATGACCAACTCTTTGTATCCTGGGCTAACCCTCATAAGGGCAAACCCGTTACCAGGCAACGGCTCTCCCACTGGATTGTAGAAGCGATTGCTCTGGCTTATACGAGTCAGGGTTTGCAGACACCAACGGGCCTGCATGCTCATTCTACTCGTGGACTGGCTACATCCTGGGCTTTATTCAAGGGTGTTTCCATCCAAGACATTTGTGCAGCAGCGAGCTGGTCCTCACCGCTCACTTTTGTCCGCTTTTACAGGCTAGATGTTTCTGCTCCAAGTGTGGCCCGTGCAGTGCTGGGCCCCGTGTTGAGACAGGGTTCTACCTGTTAAGTTCTGGTTGTTTTGGTGATTTTCGAGATAAGCATGTCTAGCAATACGGGAGTTTCAATATCCCATAGTGCAGGGGTGGGGAACCTTTTTCCTCTCAAGGGCCATTTACATTTTTACAATATCCTCAGAGGGCCGTACAAATTATTGACCTCTGCTTAAAATAACTAAAATCACAGCCCATTCATTTCATTCTGTGCAAAGAAAAAGCAACCTCTTAACCCAGATATCTCACCATGACTCGCGTATGCATGCACGGTGTGGCGTGACCACCAAAACAGAAAGATATGGACACAAGATGTGTGCAAATGTATTTAGTTTCCTATCCATGTGAACATGATTTAAGTGGGGGGGGGGGGGGGCCTAACCTCCTCTAGGGGGGTCCGGGGGGCATGCTCCCCCGGGAAGATTTTTTTAAAATGTTGAAGTTAAAAGCATCAATCTGGTGCACTTTGAGAGCAACATGAAGAGATCTATGGAAACATCTCTCAACACCCATATGAAACAGAACTGGAAGCAGATTTACTTTTCTTTATGAATATTTTACAAATCACTCTCCTTTTAAACTGTATTCTTCTTTATTAATAACAACTTTTTTTTACTGTCATATAGTATTTTGTACCTGTTTACTTTATTCTCTTATTTTTTTATAACTATAATGATCATATAAAGATGTGCCTTTACCTCACTGGTTGTAGAAAAAGCTTCTTATATTCGTTAGCATAGCTAGCTAACCAGATGCTAATAACAACAAAGTTATTGACTGTATGATCAGTATGACGGATGAACAGATCGCCACTGGGCTTTCAACTAAAGACACAGCCACGCAAAAACTGCGGCGTGTGTACGGCTCCTTATGGCTACTGCAATTTCTGAAGTGCTGGAGCGGCGTTCTGGTGCTCTCCGTCAGAACTGCATCCCTGTCAGTCGAGACATATACCACGTGATGACACGTTAAACTCGTGTTGTGTTCAAGGACCCTGACCTTGGCCAGGAAAAACAGGCACTCGCTTGTTTAATTTTTTTTCGGTCTAGATTTCTTACATTTTTTTCTTTTTTGCGTGATTTTATAAATTACCTCGAGGGCCGTACCAAATTGTCTCGCGGGCCGTATACGGCCCAGAGGCCGGAGGTTCCCCACCCCTGCCATAGTGAGACATCGAATGGAGTGTTATGAATGAGAACTATAGGTTACTTACGTAACCCCAGTTCTCAGAGTAACATGAAGTGAGATGTCTCACCTGATGGCCCTTCTTGCTAAGGGGAAGCGAGCAGAGGTGCTTATTTTTGAATGACGCTGCGACGTAGCGCAAGCTACTTAAAGGGTGGGTGGATTCCCTGACGTAGACGTCAAGATCACCAGCCAATCAGGATTGGCGTAATGAGATTGATGCTTCTGTTTGCATACGCGTTGAGGCGCATCCCATAGTGAGACATCGAACGGAGTGTTACTCTGAGAACTGGGGTTACGTAAGTATCCTATAGTTTCTCTGATAGCCTATGTCATTGAGTAAAAGGAACATTTGTCTTGCTCCCTTTACCCTGTAACGTTACAAAGGGACATATTTAAGCGGTAATCTTAAAATAAATACGAAACCAAGGTCTAATGTATGCATATTTCACAACTACTAATAGCTAAAGTATTCGATGGCAGCACCAGTCCCTGATGGCTCGCCGTGGTGATCGTATAGTGGTTAGTACTCTGCGTTGTGGCGGCATCAACCCCGGTCGAATCCGGGTCACGGCAGGGAGTGAAAGACCTTTTGGATTTTCGTTGTATGAGGGTTACAATATTTACAACGCTGAAAAACAATTATGTGGTAAACGTGGTAAGCTGTAGTACACACATACATGTATGAAAGAAAGTAACGGTTTCCTGATAAAAATGTGGTCAACTCTGCTGTGAGAAGTAGGTCGAAATTGAATAGTAGAAATATTAAAATGCTTATAATTATAGCGAAAATTCCCTATCACCTTACATGTATCACCCAAACCATTAACATGCCATAGTACACTATGCACCATACAAACAGTAGTTGCACTGTCTACTTGAAACGCACTAACTATGACTGGCCTGCAGGTGGCAGTAGAATACATTAACCCTCCTGTTGTCTTCGGGTCATATCTGACCGATTTACTACTTTCATCAATCATAACTTCTTTGTTTTACATTCGATTGCATTAAGGCTTTATGATATCCTTCACAGTAGACATTTGAACATATATCATTGCTGACCACCACTTTCATTGAATTTTGGATGATTTAGTCAACTTTGTGTTCCCGGTCAAAAATGACCGCCATAAAGAAAATGAATTAGTAACCATCCGGATCAGATAAAACACAGTCAGTCTCTCTCTCTCTCTCTCTCTCTCTCTCTCTCTCTCTCTCTCTCTCTCTCTCTCTCTCTATCTCTCTCTCTCTCTCTCATATCTCTCTCTCTCTCTCTCTCTCTCTCTCTCTCTCTCTCTTCTCTCTCTCTCTCTCTCTCTCTCTCTCTCGCACACACACTCACGTAGCCTTACATTTTCTCATAGGGAGGGGGGGGGGGTGCAGGAGCTCCAACAAGCCGTTTAGGCCAGAGAGTGAATACACATTTTATGACTCGGTGGTCTCCAGTGTGATCTTCTTTGCTGTAGTGTGTTGGGGCAGCGGGGTGAAGACAGCTGATGCCAACAGACTCAACAAGCTCATCAGGAGAGCAGGTTCTGTCCTGGGAGTGGATCAGGAGTCGTTGGCAGTGGTGTCGGAGGGGAGAATGCTGAGGAAACTCCTCGGCATTCTGGACAACGGGTCTCACCCCCTGCATGCCACACTGGTTTCCTACCGGAGCACTTTCAGCCACAGACTGAGATCACCGATAACCACCACACAGCGCCACAGGAGGTCTTTCCTCCCAGTGGCAATCAAACTCTTTAACTCTTCACCCCTAAATAAAGGGCACTGAGAACTTACACACCAACACTATGTGCAATATACATATCAAGATAATTAACATCATTGCAATACACTAGCTGCTATATATATATAACTATGTGCAATATTATATTATTATTAGTATTAGTATTATTATTAATAATGCTATGATAATGTGCAATTACGTAACTGCCACTACGTTTAAATTGTTGCACTATAACTACTAAATACTGCTAATAATGATTGCATTGATTGTGTGACCATCTATGTTTCTATGTTTCTATGTTTCATGTTGTCTGTGGATGTTGAATTGCTCTTTTTCTGCTGTGTTTATTGTGTTTATTGTATTTTGTTACTCTGGCACAACAATTTCCTTCGGGATGAATAAAGTCTTATCTTATCTTATCTTATCTTATACTATACAGAGATGCTGTATGAGAAAACCAATATGATTTTGGTTCACATTGAACAATGTAAATCTATTCTAGTAGACCTCAACAATGGAATTATGATAAGTAGAAATGGCCATGACATGGGACCTTTAACAAAAATATTTAAATGTTAACAAACCAACCTGAGTGCTATGACACCTCAATACATTAATATTAGGTAGGGCTGGCATTGTTTAAAGCCAGTAAGCTCACCCCTCAGGACACATTGCTACAGATTTGTCATATGGTAGGCTATAGCTTCAGAAGATTCTTTCACACACACATACGGATATTGGGCCGAGGGCGACACCGTACTTCCGGTATCCGCCGTTTTACGCGAGGTGCAAGCAGGCCAAGGGTTTAGCCGTACACCGTCTAGGTGTTGCTTCGCTTCCTGTACTGAATATCATAGTCTATTGCCTTAATCAATATCTAGTCAACTCTAAAATACCACATATATGCAATGGCATGATAATATTATTGTGACAAGTGGGGTATTCACCTGGTGTTTCCAGAAATTAGACGTAGATGCAGCCAAAATCGATGCAGTCTGTAAGGGCAATCCGACAACCCACACAGCTCTAGTTTATGCTGGTAACGACCTAGAGCACACCCCTCAAGTCCAGAGATGTAATCCGAAGACATGCAGCGATTTCTTCAGTCGTTAATTCAGAAAAAAAAACTAGTGCGCTCTGCCATGCTACGTTAGCTAGCTGTTTATATTTGCACTTCCAGGATATTTGCACCTCCATGAAAATGGCGTATTTATATATATATGGCGCGTGTTGCATTGTGGGTAGCTCGTGACGTCACTGTGTGTGAAATAATCTGATAAATGGTATTAAAGCTTAGTCACATCCATAATGAATCACAAACATCTTTAGCATGTTATCATAACAGGTGTGTTAAACTGTAAGGCACCTGCTGTCAATAAACATTTTGCAAAATTAAAAAAATATGACTTTATATTTTAATTTAAATCTCTAGTTGATATTTAACCAACAGAAGCCACTTTTAATATTTTCTGGACAAATTGCGGAGTAAGAACGAATATATTAAAGTGCAGAGAAAAAACACCACACACCCCAGTTGGTTCACTTTGACGTCAGTTTTCATTGGGACCCGCCCGCCTGCTCAAGTGGCCGCGGTGAATGGTGAGAGATAATCCTCCTCGGCTCCACAGCAGACACACAACAGAGCTACCCTGCTGGATCTGGATGCGGGCATCCTTGGATTCTGCTCTTTTTAACACGGGCCCACAGCACGAAAACTTAACGGAACAACAATGGTGCACGCCTCGCCGGCTGCTGGTCGTTTAGGGGACCGGGGATTGTGGTCAATGTGACATTCACTGGCACGCTGCTGTTGAGTTGTATTGTTCTGGTCCTAGACGCAGAGCAGCAGCGATTCTCCGAGAAGATGTTGAGCCGATTCAAGAGTGGCAGCATCAGGAATCTTGAGCGGGAATACAGCTGCACCGTGAGACTGCTGGATGATACGGAATATACGTGCACCATTCAGGTTAGTCACCTGTCGACCACAGTGTTTCCACTCCGCAGAGCAGGGAATAGCGATGCATTTGTGTCTGACCTGGCAGACGGAAACGCGAGTGTTTGAGCAGAGTGCCCTTCATGTCCCGCTGCTAGTGTCGATCAAGAGACAATACACACCACAATTTCTCTCGTTTCAAATAACACAGGACTTGCGTATTGTTTTCTCATTCACGTGACCTACTATGTGAATTTAGTGGCAGGGCTTATTTCAGGGAGCTTTGTAGGACAGACATAGCAGTTCCCCTCCAGCAGAGGTTGATGGGGTGTCTAAAGCACATTACACTCTGAAATTCAAACTGAAAGGGATTCTTTTTGGCTATGTGTCAGTGTGTCTCCTTGCTTAAGGTAGTGTTGCTTGCTGGATTATTGCTTGTTGGTATTAATTATCATCACTTAGTGTTGTTGCTCATGTAGTTTGCCTTGAACCTCTGACATCAATATTGCAAACAGGGTATTGTGTTGCTCCTCTGGAGGACATGCCTACTAAGTTCATTTATTTTTGACTGATCTAAACTGATCTAAACTGGTTGAAGCATAGCTCAAATATGCCATTTCAATTCTCATTTAGTGAAGCAGTATTCCTATGTTTGCTTGTATGCATATATATATATATATATATATATATATATATTTCATATTATTATTTACCACAGTATATTATCAGTTGTTTCATGTTGCTTGTGGAGATGAAAACAGAACTAGGCCCTGATATAAAAAATCTCTCTCTCTTTGCCTTTTTGTCTCACCACTACAAGCATTGCTTTGATGATTGTGCAGTTTTACATTCTTGCTGATTTCATAACAAGTAGGTGAGAGGGCCTGTCACATCAATTACAACACAAACTCGTTCCCTTTGTGGATCCTGTACAGTTGTAGTGGGGGTGTAAGGAAATCCTTGGAGAATTCTCCTACTAGTCAGCAACATGTAGACTAGAGGCATTAAAGCCGCTCCACGATACACCAAGGAAACATTTAACCTGCAATGTGAAACAATTAAACATTAATAAGACATGCACAATTCTTGTCACTATGATATAGTGTTATCAGCAGCAGGCCATACTGCAGGCATTCCTATTTTCTCTCAGCAGCGAGCATGAAATAGATACTGCATTTACTGTAGGGCTGTGACTGTGTGCCCAGGTTGTAAACAGACCTGTGTTTGTGCTCGTAGAGCTGAGCCAGAGATGGATCTGGGCCAGATGGACTGAGAAGCCAGCAGGTGTGTGTGCAGCAGAGTCGTGTACTCTGGGGGGCTGACGTCAGCAGGCAGGAGGAAAGAGAGTGGAGTGAAAGAGGAGAATGCTCTGCTTTGACTGTCTGGCATCCTGACTATCACCTGTCTAACCTGGCTGTGGGAGGGATCAGGCTAATGCACCTGAATAACCACACTGCTGGAGTTTATTCCTCGTTTACTTCAAACTTTGCTCTTCCTGCCCCCCAGGCTTCTCGCTTGCCATAACCAACAAAAAAAAACAGTACCTAAACTGAGGAAGTAAAAAAAAAAGAGGCAAAACTAGGTCATATATTCTCAGTGTCTTATTCCACCATGTTTTTCTGTCTGTTTCTCTCTGCCACCTTCTTATCCTTTTCCAGTTTGCTGTAAATGTATTCCCGCTAGACCTTAATATTTAATTGCCCCAAATCCAGGTTGTCTCCTGACCTACGTCAGCCTCCTCATTTCTTCTGACATTAAACCAGGTATCCACCTATACAATGACATCCTAATGGTATTTACAGTAGTTCCATTAAGCTACCCCTCAGCAAAAATCTTCCAAAATTAGCAACACAAAATAAGCATCTACCACAGCTAAGAATAAACCACTTTTTAAAAGGAGGGCAGAAAATGTGTCCATCTTTTTAAGCAGTGGCAGCTGTAATGCATCAACTTATGTTTTGCCTTAATGAATTATGGATCTTTCCACTCTGTTTGGAGGAGAAAAAAGTGAGCACTCCTCATTACACAGCCCTGTAGATTAAGCTCTCATCTAGTCACAGGTTGATGGAAGCGCCTGAAATCCTCTGCTGCCCTGAGGCCTCTCCTGCTCTCTGATTTTAATGCAATGTTGCAACAGAGAGTCAGTCTTCACAGGGCCTTATGTATGTGCCATGTCTGAAAAAACAGTCAAACCATATGAAAATAAAAAAAACCTATATAGATGATTAAAGAAAAGACCAAGTACAGTCACCCACCCAGTCATACACTGTGTTTGAAGGTCTGCTGCTGAAGCAAAACTCAAACACTATTCTAATTTAGTTCCTTCAGATGCAATATTTATGAGTCATCTAAATGCAGTTTGTTTATCCCTTATCCCCAGTTTACCTTTAAAGTCTTCCAGATTGTGCATTTAAAAGAAGCTCCAAATATGCCACTCTTACACGGTCACTTCCCAATATTTTCTTCTGCATCTTTTTTCTTAAAGTGTCTGCATGCCTGTTGTAACAGTAAAACCGTTGAATAGATTTTGTGAGTTTTGCGTGGGGAGATTCGGCAAAAAGAGAGTTTGAATGACAGACAAAGGGAAACAATTGTTTATCCCTGAAAGCATTGTTCAGATTTGTGAAAAGTAAAAGAAACAGTAGGCTATGTTTAGGCTTCTTGTTTCTGACAATTTTCCTCTGCTTTTACTGATAATAATTTCTTCAAATGCTTACAAAGAAAAAGCGTTTTGTGGTATCGCATAGATCGTACTTATTTTCTCCTTCGCTAGAGCGAATCTGTTACGCATTCTGAAAACCTGCAGTCTTTTGTCATTTTGCTTCTAATTAATAAAAGATGTATTGAATTGCTGGCAGCATAGTGATATTGCCCACTCTATTCCAGATGCAGAGTTAACTATAGCGCACACACTGTGAAACCTGTGGTTTACTAATAACTGCTTTGCTAATAACACAACCACCAGCTTTCAGGTCAGGGTAACATGTAAACAAAAATGGAGATGGTTTCTGAAGTCTGTACTAAAAGATAAAGAGTAGGCATAGAAATCTTTACCCTTGCTCTCCTGCTGTGACCGAAATCCGCTCTGAACAAGTTCTCCTGAGGTCTTGGTGAGTAGAGTGCGGGGGGAGGGGACCTCTGTGTGTGTGGGTGTGGGTGTATGTTTGTCTGTGTGTTTAGGGGTGCTTTACTCTGAAGCATGATGCCAGGGTCTCAGTCGTTGCTACGGTGACTCCACAGTTACCCTAACAAAATGTAGTAACTCTAGTCACGATTCCCTTCCTAAAAGTCCCGACAAGCACTCAGCCATTAGCGCATACTGGGAGGTAATTTATTTCCTGAATTCCATTGGAGGACAATGGTGGTGAGGTGACTGCTGCCATGCCCACACCCACCAGGACCATCTTATTGGGACAGTCTCATTGTTTCCCTGACACACATTCAGTCTTGTACCTCCTGTGATGTCATTATCGTTGGATGGGTTGGAAAATTGCATTTAAGGCTAACTGTCATTCTATGATACATTAGCATAGAAACAATATCAAACGTTGATGCGATTAGCCCTTTTTCATAGAAACACTTGAAGTGTCACAGTAGAGCACAGGTGTACATCATATAATTAATGACGGCTGCATGCCATTAGGCTAGCTCAGTTTCAGGGTCCTGATATTGTGCATGCTGCCTCACTCTCATGGCTAAATGGGTAATTGAATGTAACAGAGCCATCAATATTGTTACTTATTTAGTGGGAATGCTGATACAGCATTCCAACTATCTGTTATGATACGCACAAAATTCTTTATTATTCCGCCGGGTTATTTTGCACCTCTTCTTCTCCCACATTCCACAGAAACTCCGTTCAAACATCAAAATGTTCAGCTCGGTCGGGAATCGATGGCTATTACTTTTCTTATTCATAACTTTCATAATTCCAGAGATACATCCCATAATTCATCAACTTTTTAACATGGAAGTCAATGGAGAAACTCTTCAGACTTGAACAATTGTCATGCAACTTCAACTGCTAACTGATCCTTCATACTTTCACTCAGAAACCTCATTCCAACTTTAAAATGTTACACATCCTTCTGACATTATTAGTGTAACACAACTTTTAAATCTGATTCATACTTTTAGAGATATTAAACATTGTTCAGACCTTGGTAAAGAGGCCTTCTTCAGATTTTAGAGTGCGTGATGTCGCAGCTAGAGTGGAGGACAGATTTAATTTTGCCTTCATATTTTCTTTTAAACCTGCCATAATTCCCAAACCCTACATTCCTGAGACAAACATCTTGTAGCTTGAAAAAAAAGAATAAATTAAGCAAAAATAATTAAACAAAATGCCTCTTGAGGGCATGAAGTGACAAAAACTTTCAACATGTCTCCATTAAACCCCATTGTAAGTTCAGCCTCATCCCCACCACAGCAGCCGCACACCTTTAGTTAATCTGCCAAAAAGGCCACATTATTAACCCGAAAGTACACAAAAAGTACACTTCAGATACTCAACTTCCTTGACATGCTTCACGCTTTGAAATGTCACCGATATCTGTTACGGTTCTTCAACAAAACGTTCACATGTAAGAGGTTTATCTCTCATTCAGAACAATGAAAATGCTCTCCTCTCAAAACTTCACAGGTTTGGTAACGATGCAGCCATCAACGCATCTAAGCGTATTATGGGATGTCATCAAATGCCGTTGGCATGGCGACAGATCATTCGCCATCAAGTTAGTTCAAAAGTTTGCAGTTAAAATATTCTGCTGCTTTTCCAAGCCTTTTTACTTCCTTTTCTTCTCTCATCACACATTCAAGCCCCCAGTGTTCATGTATAATTTCAGTCTAAATTATTCACTTGCTTCTTACACATTACATTTCAGCATAGCAGTTTAGCGTCAGCTTTTCAGCATAAAGCATTCCCACTAGCAATTTCTTCAGGAATTGCATTCTCTAGTTTTACCTGTTCTTTCCTTCTAATAAACCAAAACTATATATTTTGTTATCGTTTTTTAAAGAAATATAAGCAGGAT